ACAAACACTAACTACTTGAAAAACACTCTTCAAATAAAACAGCCAGTGCATCAATTAGCTGAAACCATTCCAAGAAATACCTTGTTCTCAAAAGTTCTAATGTGACTTTTCATTGACCTTCTTTGAAGAAAACACCCTAGGTATCTCCTTAGAACTTGGAATGTATTATTTTTTCCAGGTCTCAAAAAATCATGAAATATGAAGCCGTCATATCAGTGTATATACATGAAAGTTGCTGAATTTTCCGTGAAATGCATTTGGGAAATACTGAGGAATTAGTCAGGACAATGCAGAGGGGTAGGAGCCTGAACTTTTCTTTTTATCTCTGTAGGTCTCTCTAACAATATGGAAGGTGTAATAAGTTTAAACACTGTTTTGAATTGAAGGTGTTATAAATGCATCCCATCGCCATTATACTTTCGCATCCCCTTTATCAGGCGTCAGCTGCTGTGCCGTCATCTGATTCTAGTGTGCATTAAACTGGACATTTCAGGTCTATCTTGAGGTTATTTGGCAATGCTCCTTATTCCTGCCTTCTAAGAAGCGATTCAAATAAGTGGGTGAGTGGCCAAGTAAATCTGGCTAGCAACCAACAAGCGCATTACAAAGTCCTGTTTTTCATCTGTCAGTGATCTGTTTTGCACGCTCAGCAATCAAGTTTAATTTGCCCAGTGATTAGTCAGAAGCAGGACTTTTCTGAGTATGTCTGTGCGTTTGTGCATACGTCTGTGTTGTTCCATGTTGTGTTTTCAGCTGAAGCCCCGAGGATTCAACCGTGTTAGTGTGACCACCAAAGATCACACTTGGGAAAGTAATTTCAACTTCTCGCTTCCCTGGCTGTGGGTCCACAGTTGCAGTTCCGAGAAGCGTCCCAGATTGTTCCAACAGCTGCTGAACATGGTGAATGAGCAACCAGGGCCACACAGTGTGGCAAACCGCCCAAGAGCAGGCACTTTAAATTACTGCGCTGTCACCTCCCCCCCAACACCTTGGACTGAAACCAGACTCGGGGATCAGCCTGTTTACAGTGTTTGGTTGTTTGGGATGACAGGGGAAGCGCAATCAGCAGCTTCTCATTATATTGCTGAAGGTATTTTTGTGATGCCTGCACTTTTGAAATGGTTTCAAAGAAGCATTCTAGACTGCATCTTTGACACTGTTCCCAGAACCAGCCCCTGTGTGTTCACAGCTGTCAAGATAGTCCACCAAGAATTTTCTTAGCTGATGACTTGGCCCATTTAAAAGAAGAAAGAATCTCTTGTTCAGTTTTCCCCTCCCTTTGCTCCCAATGCACTGAATTCTAGTCAGTTACATTTCCATTGGCTCTGCAATCTTGTCCGGGTGCCCCATTAATCAACTATAAGTGGTGACAGTCTGTTTGACTTTAGGGAGGGGGAGGAGGTCTGATGTCTTTTCGTAGTGGAGATTGGTGTGGGAGACAATGCAGAGGAGTAACAGCTTGAGGTGTTGTCTTTCCTGTCTTACTCTCTTCCCAGGTACTATGGCATTGAAGACACAGCATTCTTGTCACTTCTAAGGGAATGTAATTGAATTGTCGTGTCAAGGCTGGTCAGAACTGTGGTTGGATCACATTCAGAGTACTGTGTGCAATTCTGGTCTCCATGTTAAAGGGTACAGAGGCAATGAAGAAGGCACAAAAGAACTTAACAGGTCTAAGTGGCCATAAGTACTTGGAGCAACTGAATGGATTGAATATCTTTAACATATGAAGTGAATGGACACTTTTAAGGAGGATATTTCTAAGATAAACATATGAAAGAGAAAGGAATAGGAGGATTTTTTTAAAAAATTCAGTCATGAGATACAGGTTTCACTTGGCTGGACAGCATTTGATCAGGTACCAACAGTAGTTTCATCTCGAAAGTACCGTGTTTCATTCTTCTTCAGTCAAAAATGGATGAACTTGTACTTCCCCTCATTGAAATCCATTTGCCCCAATTTTGCCCATTCACTCAATCAGTTGCTATCTCTTTGTAATGGTAAACTTCCATTGCCTGCTTGATTGGTGCTAAATCCAGAAGCATCCACTCCCTCCACTACGACGCTCAGTAGCAGCGGCGTGTACCATCTACAAAATATATTCATCAAAGATCTTTAGACAGTATCTTCCACACCCACAACCACTTCATATGGAAGGACAAGGGCGCACCAAGGGAACACCAACACCTGCAAGTTCCCCTCTAAGCCATTTACCATCCTGACTTGGAAATATATCACCGTTTCTTCACTGTCGCTGGGTCAAAATCCTGGAATTCCCTCCCTAATGGCATTATGGGTCAACCTACAGCAGGTGGACTGCAGTGGTTCAAGAAGGCACCTTCTGAAGGGCAATGCAATAAATGCTGGCCCAGCCAGCATTACCCACATCCCACAAATGAACAAATGTAAAATAATTCACAATGGACACAATGCCACCAAATGTAGCTTCAGTGGTGCAGCAGAATATGGAGCGTTCTGTCTGATTTTCTAAGTTCACTCCTATATAATGAATAGTTAAGGCCTAATATCCCTATTCTCTGTCTCCCGTCATTCAGCTAATTTCCTTACCAGGTTAATTATTTGCATTCATTCCATGAGCTTCAAGTTTATCTAAAAGTTTCTTAGGATCAAATGCCTTCTGAAAATGCATATAAACATTTCCAAATGCATTTCCCTGTCCACTACTTCAGCTACCATTTATAAACAGTCAAGTTTGTCAGATTGGCTGCCTCTGATCATCTGGAATGTATCAACATTTCAATCACCCTATCCTCATGATAGACTGCTAAATTCCTGAGAACAGCCATTAGTCTTACCGGTCTATAAAACTTTGTTTTTTGTAAGGTTTTGGAGTAGATCAGTAGCTCGAGTTGTGGGTGTTGAGGTTGGTTGGCTCGCCGAGCTGGTTTGTTGTTCCGCAGACGTTTCGTTACCATGCTTGGTAACATCCTCAGTGCAGCCTCTGATGAAGCGTCGGTGTGTTTTCTCGCCTGGTTTTTAAACTCTGGGGTCCCTTGCGATGGATTGCCTCACTTCCGGGTTTCCTCTGTAGTGGAATGTATATGGGGTCGAGTTCAATGTGTTTATTAATAGCCTGCTTCGTGGAGTGCCATGCTTCCAGGAATTCTCGTGCTTGTCTCTGCCTAGCCTGTCCCAGGATCTTGGCGTTGTCCCAGTCGAAGTGGTGGTTCTCCTTGTTCATGTGGATTGAGAAGAGTGAGTATTGGTCGTGTCTTTTTGTAGCCAGTTGGTGTTCATGTACTCTTGTTGTTAGTTTCCTTCCTGTTTGTCCGATGTAGTGTTTCTCGCAGTCTCTGCAGGGGATCTTGTATTCCTCCTCCTCTTGGCGTAGTTCCATGTTGACACTGCAGCAACATGGAACTATGCCAAGAGGAGGAGGAATACCTCTTCCAAGTGTTCAAGGATAATGGATATCCAAAGAACTGGGTCAGGAGATGCCTACAGGCACAGCATCAGAAAGATTCTACACGCCCCGACACACTCATCACACTACCCTACATCAGGAACACGTCAGAACACACCACAAGACTTCTACAACCGCTGGGCATCACAGTGGCACACAAACCCACATCAACCCTACGACAAGTGCTCACCCGAACTAAATACCCACTCCCCGCCATGGACAGGACCAATGTCATCTACAAGATCCCCTGCAGAGACTGCGAGAAACACTACATCGGACAAACAAGAAGGAAACTAACAACAAGAGTACATGAACACCAACTGGCTACAAAAAGACACGACCAATACTCACTCATCTCAATCCACATGGACAAGGAGAACCACCACTTCGACTGGGACAACGCCAAGATCCTGGGACAGGCTAGGCAGAGACAAGCACGAGAATTCCTGGAAGCATGGCACTCCACGAAGCAGGCTATTAATAAACACATTGAACTCAACCCCATATACATTCCACTACGGAGGAAACCCGGAAGTGAGGCAATCCATCGCAAGGGACCCCAGAGTTTAAAAGCCAGGATGGAAAACACACCGACGCTTCATCAGAGGCTGCACTGAGGATGTTACCAAGCACGGTAACAAAACGTCTGAGGAACAACAAACCAGCTTTTTTTTTTGTCTCTTAATTTTCTTAAATAGCAGTACAGTGGCTCAGTGGTTAGCAGTGATGCCTCACAGTGCCAGGGACCCAGGTTCAGTTCCACCCTTGGGTGACTGTCTATGTAGAGTTTCCATATTTTCCCTGTGTCTAAGTGGGTTTCCTCCAGTTTCCTCCCACCGTCCAAAGATGTGCAGGTGGATTGGCCGTGCTAAATTGCCCGTAGTGTCCATGGATGTGTAGGTTAGGTAGTTTAGGCATGATTATGCGGGATTGTGGGAGCAGGGGGTGGGGGGCGCGGTGGTGGCAGGTCTGGGTGCAATGCTGTTCGAAGTGGGTTCAATGGGCTGAATGGCCTGATTCCCCACTGTAGGGATTCTATGATTCTATGACATATGAATGAACTTCCAATGAAAGGAAGCAGTTCCTGAATCAAGCATACTTTGGGAAATTATGTTAGAAATTTGCGATTTTCTCACTCCAGATAAATCCATCTGTGCAACCTTTAACACTTTTGTGCCACTATCTTGCTCATGACTGTTATTTTGCTGTTTTTAATTTTTAAGTCTCTGTTCCTGGCATAGTTGAGGTGTCTCGCATGTAACTCTCTTTTCCACCCAACTCCTTCAACCGCCTCATTAATCATCTTATCCAGAACAGACTTGTGGACTTCTAAGAAAGTGGTGTCGCTGCCTTGAACTGCAGTAGGCCACTTGCTTTAGGTGCACCCGCGGTGCTGTTAGGAAAGGAACTTCAGGAATTTGATCGAATGATGATGAAGGAAATTGACGTAGTACCAAGTCAGGATGGTGTGCTGTTCACAGATGCTGATGTTTCAATGCACCTTGTTCTTGTGTGCAGTTCAGACTGCAGCATGTGTGTTACCTGATGTGCTGAGGAGCCTGTGGGTCTTTTTCAGTTACAATGAAGCCTTGATGTACCTTATCCACGCTTACCAATATAACAAAGAGCTGCTGTCCAAAGGGATATACAGAGGTCACGATGAAGAGCTAATGTCACACTACAGGCGAGAGTGTTTACTGGTAAGTACAGTACAGTTTAGAAAGAACAATGCATAATTAAAGAATTCCTACGAGTAGCCTGTAGACAATAACACGAGTCAAAATGTAACATTTGCTGCTTTGTTAATACTCTGTGTAACTTTGGGAAATTTGGTATCTGATGTAAAATTTGGGAATAAGCAGCATTCTCCATGGTTCACTCTGCTTTATTCACTGGGCAAATACAAACAAATCTATAAAGTGTGGCTTGCCACTCAGTTTTTGTACATATCCATCAGTTTTTAGAACAACATACATGTTGTTATTGCAGCCGACAGAATTAGCCTCAGTACTGCTTTGTCAATACTTGAACACCGCGACTCATGGGACAGAAGTAATCTTATATTTTGTTGGCTAAAATGGTTCTGCATCCATCGAGTTTTAGAGATTTAACCCAGTTTTTACAGAGGGGGCACATACCGTAACGCTCCTTTTAATTAGTACTAAATCAGCACTCATGCCATAAGCTCAAAGGAGAGCGAAAGAGAAAAAAGGCAAAGTATTAGGAATTTAAAGATACAACTAATATTTTTAATAAGTTACACGGAAGTACACAATTTAAAATATAAATAGGCTGTGTGGAATTCACTACATAGAATTTGCAGCACAGAAACAGCTTATTCAACTGGTCTCTGGTGTTTATATTTCATGCAAGTCTTCTCCCACAATTTTCAGTTTTTAGTCCATCAATATAGTTTCCTGTACCCCTTTCCCTCATGTACTTATCAAGCTTATTTTTTTCAATGTAACTATGCACCTCAACTGCTCATTGTGATAGCAAGGACAGTATAAAGCAAAAGGCATAATTTTAAAGGGGTGCATGAACAGAGGGACCTGGGAATGTATACGTGAAAATAATTGACGGTGGCAGGACACATTGAGAACGTAGTTTTAAATAGGTGTTACAAGATCCTGGATTTTAAAAATGAAGGTATAGAGTAGAAACGCAAGGAAGGAATGATGGGCCTTTGTAAAACCTTGGATTTACCTCATCTGGATTATTGTCATTTATTTTGGGCAGCCTATTACAGATTTAAAAACCTCTTGTTGAACTTTCTTTTGGCCTTCTCTGGTCAACTTCTCCAGTAACGATTTAAGTAAATATCAGTGCTGCCTTTAAATTTTATTATGTTTTATGATAACATTTAAGACTGGAGATTTGAGGAAGATAATGTTCTTCCAGGGGTGTTGGGAATCTGGAATGCACTGCCTGAGAGGGTAGTTGAGAGGAAACTTCACAACCTTTAAAACGTGATGAGCACCTGAAATATCATAACATTTAAGGCTATGGGCCCAGTGCTGTGAAGTGAGGTTAGTGTAGATGGGTCAATGTAGATTGGTCAGCACAGAATCGATGAACTAAAGGGATGCTCTATATTGTATGAGTCTATCTGTTTGACATATTCCTTTGCTGTGCTGTGGTAGAAATTGAACGAGCATGCTGCGGCTCTCTTCGAGTCTGGAGATGACCAGGATGTAGAGGAAGGACTCACCACCATGAATGAATTGGTCGTTCCCTGTCTACCACTGTTATTGGTTGATGAAATGGAAGAGAAAGACATTGTGGCTGTAGAAGACATGAGGAACCGATGGTGTTCATATTTGGGGCAAGAAATGGAACGTAAGTTTTTTTTCTTCATTTGTTCATGGAATGCAGGCAGTGCTAGTTAGGTCAGCATTTATGGCCCATCTCTAATCGCATTGCATTGGATTTGGAATCACATGTCAGCCAGATCAGGTAAAGACAGCAGACACCCTTTCTTAAAGGATGGTGGATTGGCCTTTTATGACAGTGAATGCCATTAGACTTATTTTTCCAGATTTCTGTTGAATTCAAATGTCATCATCTGCCGTGATCAGCTTAAAATCCGTATCCCCAGGACATTAGCTTGAGATTCTGGAATGCTAACCCAGTAACATTGCCATCATGCCACCTCCTCCCCAAGAATTGTTGAATGACCATTGAGCTATCCAGGTGTGAAAATTTGTCACAAACAGAAATGCAAGAGGTTGAGAAATAGACTGAAATATATTGAGCAAGATTTTTAAAAAGTTCTTAAATTGAAATAAGTTATAATGATTAATTATCATCAGAACGAGTCCACTTTTGTGTTTGAACAAGAGATCTTGGATGATTTATTTTGAAGGGATGGAATAGATTGACACAGTCTTATTTCTTGTGTTGAAAATCTCTAGAATAAAGGAACGCAAATGAAAGATAAAGTTTTTGAGATGGAAGATAAGCGGAGGACTCATCAAAGAGTCCTAAATATTAACTTACTCCTTTATTTTCCTAGTTTAAACTATGAAAGATTTTTAACTATTACCTTGTTTCTTTATTTTTCTACTTATTTTATGAAGTAATGCCTAACTTTTTAACTAATTTCTCTTACTACTAAGTACCCAAGTCTTTTTGTACCTTGGTAGCATGGTACCTAAATGGTGCCATATGTGGCAACATTATATACTTTTCATATGACAACAAAATCTAAATCTAATCTTTGATTTGATTTATTGTAGTCACATGTATCTAAGTACAGTGAGAAGCTTTGTTTTGCAAGCAGTACAGGCAGATCATAGCAAACAGGGACATAGGATGCTTAGACAGATGCAAGAGCAAATATAGAAGATGCATAAGAGAACCCTTCTTGCAACAGGGGCTTATGAGGCTATGGAACACAAAAGGAAATTTAGTAATTGAAGCAGAGAATTTGTCAACATTTAAGAAAGATCGAAGGTAAAAGGGAAGATAAAAAAAAAAGCACCAGAGACATGGGATCAGGACTACTTTTGCAGAAGGAGGAACAGCATCATAGACTGGTTGGGCTGAACACCCTCACCATTCTTGGCAATAAGTGAAGAATGGTGTGAAAGATCAATGCAGGAAATCACTGCTGGTTGTCATTTTTATGAATTATTTATAATCTGGAGTCAGTGTCGAAGTGTTCAAATTTACACACCGGTGGAGGTGAAAGCTGGTTTGTACAAATTCAGAGGGACTTGGGGACGTAGCAGAATAGTGTCAAGTTACTTTGTTGAAGACAAAGAGAAGGGAGGTACTCGTTAACTGGAGCAGTCAAGCCTTGGTGTGAAGCACATTAAAATAAATGGAAACTTTGGTTTTGTACCTCAAAGCATAGAATTTAGAGAAGTGGGTGTTAGTGTTGGACTCCCATTAGAATCTAGTTAAACTGTACTTGAGGCTTTTTTGCACAGGTCATCGATTAGCCCATTTGCCCGAATGGCTGATCTGTCATGCAGTATGATGTCAACAGGACAGGTCCAAATCCTGTATTGGCTAAATGAAAACCAAAAGACCTGCAGATGCTGTAAATCAGGAACAAAAACAAAGTTGCTGGAAAAGCTCAGCAGGTCTGGCAGCATCTGTGAAGGAAAAAGCAGAGTTAACGTTTCGGGTCCAGTGACCCTTCCTCAGAACTGTGGAAGCCTCGATAGGAAGAATGAGGGGAGTCACCCATTACTTGGAAAGTGCAACAGTATAAGGAAGAGAATATTTTAATGGGATGACAGTGAAGCGGGGATTACAGAGGATGAAAATAGTTTTTTTATAAAAAAAATTGGGGGAGACTTGAAAGTGTTTAAAGCGAAATGGGGATTTGATGAACGAGTAGGCAACTGTTTTCGCTAGGTAGTGGGTCAGTAACAATAGGTCAACATTTAAACTAATTGGTTAAGGAATTAGAAGGGAAATTAGAATATTTTCCACCAGAAGATTATTAAGATCTGAAAGAGTAAAGGAATCAGATATAGGACTTTCAGAAAAGCATTTGGACATGCATTGTAAAAAGTCTAGTTAATGATGACAGGACCATATGAAGGAGTGTCTGCATTGTGACTCATGAAGTGTGAATTTGTATAGCTCCTCTAGCCCCTTTTAAATTTTTGAATATTTCAATCTAACAACAACCAGCAGTGAAACTTTAGTTTAAACAAGATCAAAGGTTAGTTTATTACACAGCTATTTCTGAAAGTTACTGAGTAAAAACAAAAGGAAAAACTATTGGCAAAAGTGCAGTTTCCAAGATTACATTAGATATGGATAAAAGTTACATACAAAGATGAGGGTACAACATTTTCTTTCCAGGGTAAGGGGATTGAAAACTTAAAATCAGATTCTTTAGCTGTGATGGCTTCACTAGTTGAATAGTAGGAAGTTGCTTGTATAGAAGACTTCTGATGTTCACTAGTTCTGTAGTTACACTACTTACAGATTGCAGAACTGTGACTGATTTCTGAAATCCCTTTCCTTAAACTCTCTTTTACCTAAAGCTCTCACAGTGCTATTATTTGAGTCTTTCTTGGTGTTCTAATTAAAATGATGTCTCAGCCTGTTTTCGATGGATCAAACCTTAAGGTCGCTGCTATCCCAAAATTTTCATACTTCCACATTAGGAGGTGTGTCATACTTCCATATTAGGAATTTGCCAAGGTAGGAAGAAGCTATCTGTACCCCCAGGGAAGACATTGCTAATGAGTTTCTGTTTGCCCCTTGCCAGAATATGCATTGAATTTCCCCAATTAGATTTTTACTAGGTGCTGTGTCAACTGTAATGAATCTATTTTCTTCTCTCTGCTCTACCACAAAAGCTGTTGCCTGAAATACAGTTCCGTTGTGTGTTCCCATGTCAAACTTAATTGGTTTTCCCAAACTGGATAATCTGCAGGGAAATTCCATCTCAATCTGTGAAACTTCCCGAAAGGTATAAATTAAACCTAAATGGCTGGTTAATTTAAGTTCAGATGGTGCTATTTAGTGATGATTTCATAACTGCTGCAGTTTGTAGTCAGGTGATCACTGCAACCATCTTAAATCAATGTCTTCCCTTTTTTAAAAACATTTTAAAATCCATAAAAGTCTCAGGTATGAAAAGTCAGATAGTAGCAGTGAAAAATTGATCATCCGTTTTTAGTGCTATCGTAACAGTCTTTTGAAATAAAAAGCTTTCTTAACCATTTAAGATTTATCTATGATTAAGGTAGTTGAGATTCTCAATGTATTGTAAAGATTTGAGAAAACCTCTCATAAAATAAGCCATAAAGACCAAAGCATTATTTTGTTTTCAGTTTTTAAAATAGTACTAAACATATATGTAAAAGCAAATCTTGCCTTTGGCTGCAATTATGGACAAGTTCATTGCTCAGACATTATGATGTTTGAGAAGCATACTGTTTAATGTTGACTGATCTGCTATTTGCAGGTAATCAGAATACAAGTTATGGGCAATAAAATCTTTAGCTTATAGTAAGACAGAGAAGGCAAAATTAATCTCAATACTCTTAAGAGGCGAAGGACATAGGATTTTATGTGTTGCAGAGCTGTGAATGTAAAGTGCACTCAGAAGGTGAAAAATGGGGAAGGATACGGACCTGGAAGAAGGAAGGGGTTCATGAGCATCAGCTGGGTTACAGAACACCATGAAATCCCCAAATCACACACACCCCAGCCCCAACCTCAGCATATTATAGCCATTCTTCAGAGCCACCGTGTCCAAATTCTGGAACTCCTTCCTTCACAGCATTCTGGTATCAGTCAGCTTTATCACATGGAACTACAGAAAAGTTCAAGAAGAAAGCTCATCACTACCTTCCTAAGGACAGCTAGTGGTGGGCTTCAGGTTAGCCTTACTACATCCAGAGAATTGCATTTTATGTTCCTTACATAATAACAGACAAAGATGTGCAGAATAATTCTTATTATAAATTGTTTACATAGCAGTGAGCAATAGTAAATATTACTGAAAGATTATGACAGGAGGAAGTGGTCTCGACGCACTCATGGGAGTCATGACGTAATATAGTCAACTGATGAAGGGGTTAGAATGCAGGGAAACTAAAGTGACCAGAGATAATTATGTCTTCAGGTTAAGGCCACGCATTCTGATTTTATTTTGAAATAAATAATTTGTTTTTAAAGATGATTTTCTGGTCAGTGGCAGATGCAATGATGGTAATTCCATCGTGAATGTCAAGGGAAATGGTCATAGCTGGCATTTGTGTGGCACAAATGTTACTCGCCACTTGTCATTCCAAGCCTGGATCTAGTCCAGGTTTTACTGCATTTGGCTGTGGACTGCTTCAGTATCTGAGGAGTTGCAAATGGTGCTGAATATTGTGCACATGTAGACAAAGTGACTTGGAACATCTCACCATGTTATATATGCTGTATAAATACGCACTGTTGTTAGTGAAATGTGCACAGGCATCAGATTTGGGTTGTTGGATTGGTAGCGAGCAGACGTACAGTGGAACTGCTCACCTGAGTCACTAAGGGTGAGTCTCTTGATGGGAAGCAAATGCGACACTGAATGGGAAGCGTTTTGGCAATGTCATATTTTGTCGAAAAATGAATAAACCTCTCCCTTTTCACTCCCTTTCTCAGCCAACCTGCAAGAGAAGCTTACTGACTTCCTGCCAAAGCTGCTGGACTGCTCGACCGAGATCAAAGCTTTCCGTGAGCCACCGAAGCTCCCTTCCTTCTCCACGCACGAACTCTGTGAGCGCTTTGCTCGTGTAATGGCATCTCTCAGTCGAACCCCTGCAGACGGCAGATGAAAGGAAACACGAGATTCTTTTTTTGTTTCTCTTTTTCGGGGAGCACGTTACAACCAACAAGGACTTCTTTCGTTTAAATCTTTCTTTTCTTTCCGTTCTGAGGTATAACCTTCACCTTCCCGTCACAGAGTTTGCTTGCTGCTGCTGCTATAGATTTTACCCATTTTTTTAAAAAAAATAAAATCTTGACTTAACCGCAACCAAGGCATCTATTACCATAAATGAACTTTTAAACGGCAAGACTGACAGTGGACACAGCTCAGTGCACATGATGCTTTGGGCACAGTCGGAGGAAATAGTGACATTGGAGGACCGAGAGAGGAAAAAAAAGAGACTGATGTTTAAATTAAGAATTGGAACATTTTGAAGCAAGAGACACCCATCTTTATCTTTTGCATCCCTGCTCTTGCCACCAGGTTTCTGCAAGTGTGTTAACTCGCCATGCTATCAATTTTTTTTTAGAGAAAGAACCACAATTCTATCTGTTGAATTTTATTCTTTCCACATTACTCTTAATGACAGCCAATGATATTTGGAGGTGTGGGTGCTGACTTTTCCTGCCCTCCCCTTACCCGCAACCCCTCTCTCCCCACGAAAATGACGTCATGAGGCTTGTGAACGAACTGAAAGAATAAAGTTTTATTTATGGCTATTTTTTGATGTAATGATGAAACAGCTGATGTTCTGTGTGCTTTTTTTGTAAAAATATCTCTGTTGCTTTGATAGTCAAATATGAGAAGAAAGTGTTGTCACCCCTATCAGAATGGCCATGCCATCTCAGCAATTGAAGATTAATTTCTAAGATACTTCTCCCAAGGAAGAAAAGTTAAGGAAGATGCCTATCGAATTAAATTCTGCTTCTTGTTTTTTTACCTGCTTTCTGTGAGCACTTTATTGATTAAGCTGGAGAGGGAAAGCTACCACTTCCTCCCCGAGAAAAAGACCAGGGTGACCAGCTGAAGGCTTTCAAGATTAGGAAAGAAATCAATATAATAGACATAGAGAAGAGGAGGCAAAGATAAGGGGCCATCAGTGTAGTATAGTCTATAGGCGATTAAGGAGAAACTTCTTTGCCCAGAGACTGCTGAGACTCCACTGAAGCAAGTAACATAGATTTAGGGAAAGCTTGTTAAGTACATAAGGTAGAGAGGGATAGGATAGTATGAGGTGATGAGGAGACTTGTGTGAAGTTCTGGGCTGAATGATCTGGTTCTTTTCTGTACAATTCCAGGCAGCTGTCCAGATGAATCTGCATGAATAACAGACTGTTCTGCCCTCCAGCTGACTGGAAACGCAGTGTACCACAAGGATGGACTGGTGCAAGAGCTAGAAAGCATCCTTCCCCCTTAGCCACGGATGTGCATGGCAGCCCAGACTGACAAACGCACCAAACACAAGAAACAGCCCCTTTAGAATGTGCCCAAGTGAAGTCACGCTGCAATTTTGGAGGTGTTCGGTTAGTGAAACAAACTCACCAGACATTGAGGGAAGGTAAAAGGAAGCCTGGAAGGGAGATCATGTAATTAAACTTTCCTGAGTAACCAACCTCCACCCCAACCCAATCAATGCCATACACTGTTTCTGTGAATGTGTTCTGGAGATAAAGTTATTATTGTTACCTGTGTGCTTGATGAGGCATTCGGTAAGATCATGAATGATCTGAACTTGACTTCTATTCCTCTTTCCTGCCTGAAACATTTTTAAAAATTCATGATACCCAGAGAAGAAATTCTTCATCTTTGGGTAAATGTGTGACCCATTATCTGAACCCTAGACATAGATTCCCCAAGAGGAGAAGCATCCTCTCAGCGTCCACCTGTCAGCCTCCCTCAGGATCTTAGATATTTCAATAAGATGACCTCTCTTTCTTCGAAACTCCAGTGGATGCTAGCACAACTGTTTAATCTTTTCCTCATCAGACAAACCCGTCATCCCAGGAATCAACTAGGTGAATCTTCGCTGAACTGTTTCTCTTACAAGTTTTCTCTTTCCCTCCTTTTTCCTCCACCTCCCCACACAGCTGCCTCCTCCCCAACGTAATCTCCTCCTCCTGACCTCCTGAGCATCTCCTCCTCCCGAACATC